ACCTTTGGAACCTAACTCATTTGTAAACAGACGAGTCCCTGTCTGTGTTCTGACTTACGAACCGCTCAACTTACGTACGGGTCCAAGTAACGAACTGCGCTCGTATGTCGAGGACTGCCCCGTAGGCTGATGGACTCATCATAAGCCTGTGTGTATATATATGAATTCTACTTGAAGACACGGAATGAGAGTTCAGCTTATGCTTGAACGTGCGTTGCTGCGCGCGTTCCGTAGGATCTTCACATCGCTGCGACCCCTCCCCAGGCCGTAAGCAAAACGCAAAAAAAAAAAGAAAAGATAATAAATTGATAAAATAAAATAACACAATAATAAAAATCTCACGACGTTTCGGCCACAACACAAGGACAGCGCTGGAGCACTCCAGCGCTGTCCTACCAGAAGACAGTCTCGTCCCTTCACCTGATGAAGGCCGCTTGTGTTGTGGCCGAAACGTCGTGAGAATATTATTGTGTTATTTTATTTTATCAATTTATTATTTTATTCGCATTCTACGTGGTGACTTTACCGAAAGAACCAAAGAAGATGAATCATTGCAGTCACGAAAGCTTTAAATCGAAAAAAAAAGAAAAGGTTTTGCCCGAGTTTTTTTTGTGGGAATTGGTAAATCGCCGGACACACGCCGCCTTGGAAGCCAAGTTAACAAAAATAAAAAAAAATATATAAAAAAATTATAATTCCAAAACGACTTTCTCGAGACGGCCTCAGGGACCGCCGCTGGGCGAGCCGGCGGCTCGAAGCGCCTCTGGCAATCGCCTCGGCGACAACGCAACAATGAAAGGAAAGAGGTTTCGTGTTCGACGAAGCGAGGGAGAAAAAAAAAGTGGCGACAACAAGGAAGAAAAATCGGGCGCGTGCATGGATTATGTATTATTAGTATTATTATTAAACGTGGTGACAACAAGGAATACAAATCGTGCACGTGCATGGATTATGTATTATTATTATTAAACGTGGTAACAACAAGGAATACAAATCGTGCACGTGCATGGATTATGTATTATTATTATTAAACGTGGTAACAACAAGGAATACAAATCGCGCGCGTGCATGGATTGTGTATTATTATTATTAAACGTGGTAACAACAAGGAATACAAATCGTGCACGTGCATGGATTATGTATTATTATTATTAAACGTGGTGACAACAAGGAATAAAAACCGCGCACGTGCATGGATTATGTATTATTATTAAACGTGGTAACAACAAGGAATACAAATCGTGCACGTGCATGGATTGTATATTATTATTAAACGTGGTAACAACAAGGAATACAAATCGTGCACGTGCATGGATGATGTATTATTAGTATTATTATTAAACGTGGTAACAACAAGGAATACAAATCGTGCACGTGCATGGATTGTGTATTATTATTATTATTATTAAACGTGGTAACAACAAGGAATACAAATCGTGCACGTGCATGGATTATGTATTATTATTATTAAACGTGGTAACAACAAAGAATAAAAACCGCGCACGTGCATGGATTGTATATTATTATTATTAAACGTGGTAACAACAAGGACTAAAAAAGACCCATAGATTAGAACGGCTGGCTATACACGGTGCGAAAGAAGTTCAACATACATACATGCATACACATACGTACATATCGGATCATATTTACGGGAGTCATCATGCTCATCCGTTACAGACGGACGGACAGAGCTGACGCGTTCACGCTTGCCAGCCATAAGTTGGAAAGCATTAAAACGACAAAGGTCCCCCGGTATAGCCGTTTATAAATTATTGGGGCAAACATGCAAATCTATGGGTGTCTCTGTGGGTGTCTATGGGTCTCTGTGTGTGTACGTGTATGTGTGTTGAACTTCTTTAGCACCGTTCATAGCAAACTCTGCTAATCTATGGGTGTCTCTGTGGGTGTCTATGGGTGCCTCTGTGGGTCTCTGTGTGTGTATGTGTGTTGAACTTCTTTCGCAAACCCTGCAGATCTATGGGTGTCTCTGTGGGTTCTATATTTAGAGCTTTTAACAGACAACGGGACAAGAAGTCGCAGCTCATCGAGACACTGACCTTCCTCAAAATATGCCGCGATCACAAGGTAATACCCATCGCTTTCACACTCACTTCTGCTGCTGTATCTTCTCCGAATTCTAAACAGATTCTGCTTAAGGCCAGCCTATATTTCATCTCAGAGAGGATAAGGCTACGCCATTTCAATGCTAAATTATATGCTAATTCCTTTGTCAAGGCGCTTTGTGTTTTTCTTCTCACACAGCTTAAAGGTCGTGATCTAAGCGTGGCTTCTCTCACTCCAGCGCTGTCCTCCAGACAGTCTCGTCCCTTCACCTGATGAAGGCCGCTTGTGTTGTGGCCGAAACGTCGTGATTTTTTGTTATTTTATTTTCACCTACGTGACTTTACCCAATAGAACCAAAGAGTATGTCTCTGTGGGTGTCTATGGGTGTCTCTGTGGGTCACTGTGTGTGTACGTGTATGTGTGTTGAACTTCTTTCGCACCGTTCATAGCAAACCCTGCTGATCTATGGGTGTCTCTGTGGGTGTCTATGGGTGTCTCTGTGGGTCTCTGTGTGTGTACGTGTATGTATGTTGAACTTCTTTCGCACCGTTCATAGCAAACCCTGCTGATCTATGGGTGTCTCTGTGGGTGTCTATGGGTATCTCTGTGGGTCTCTGTGTGTGTACGTGTATGTTGAACTTCTTTCGCACCGTTCATAGCAAACCCTGCTGATCTATGGGTGTCTCGGTGGGTGTCTCTATGGGTCTGTGTGCATGTACGTATGCATTTTTAACTTCTTTCGCACCCTACGTAGCCCACCGTGCTAATCTATGGGTTTTTGTGGGTGTCTATGGGTATCTTTGTGGGTCTCTGTGTATGTGTGTATGTATGTGGAACTTCTTTCGCATCGTACGTAGCCAACCGTGCTAATCGGAGGTGTTAACGAGCACCTTGAAAGGCCTATTCACTGTGCGCAATCTGGTAGCCATCACCACGCCTGGCCGCCTTTGTCTCTCCAGTGTTAGAGTTATTGTGAACCCTCCGTTACAGACAGAAAATCCGACGTAGGTAATAAATTGACGATCTTAACCTTCAAATTTTGATTTAAAGCTTTCGTGACTGCAGGGATTCATATTCTTGGTTCTTTCGGTAAAGTCACGTAGAAGGGAAGCAAGGAAATAATACAAATATACAACAATAAAATTCTCACGACGTTTCGACTGCAACACAAGCAATCATCATCAGGTGTGAAAACCACGGCAGGAAAAATTTTGAAAAAAAAATTATTGCTGTGGTTTTCACACCTGACGATGATTGCTTGGGTTGCAGTCGAAACGTCGTGAGAATTGTATTGTTTTATATTTTTATTATTTTATTGATTCCCTTCTATGTGACTTTACCGAAAGAACCATGAATATGATCTTAACCTTCGTTTGAAAAGCGTCAAACTGATAACAGAAGTAGTGGTGCCTATGACATTATTAAAAACGACTTTTATTTGGCCAGGTAAGCCCCCCCTGAGCGACGCAGCTGTTTCTCAGAAGCGACCTGGCCACAAATCACGAACGACAGCTCAACGAAGTGGCTTATCATCATCGCGTGGAAATTGTATAGCAGCCAAATGCTCTAAACGCTTGCTTCTATATGTGGAGGGGAAAACCGGAGGACAGGGAGAAAAAATCCACACGACCACGGGGAGAGAAAGACACCACAAACTCCAAATATACAGCAGCAGCAGGTGTCAGGGTCGGGATCGAACCCACAAACCTCCTGTATACCAGGCGAGGGAGTTAACATCTCATAGCCACCGTGAAGATGATGAGAGACGCAAACTCCAAATATACAGCAGCAGGTGTCAGGGTCGGGAACGAATCCACAAACCTCCTGTATACCAGGCGAGGTAGTTAACATCTCATAGCCACCGTGGCAGCAATTCAAGTGGAATGCGCCAAATCTCAGAAGCTAAGATGGCTTTGAGCCTGGACAGTACTGGGAAGGGCGCCCGCTGTGGGCTTAATTCCAGCTGGGTCTGCCCGGGGTAGGTGACCCGGAAGAACAACAACAACAACAAACAAATATCCGCAACCGGCACACCACATCGAGTATACGGGATAGGCCCTCACTTGCACAGGGCACCATGTGCTGAGCGTGTGTGACGATGTGTTGCAGAGAGCGTGTGGTTCACACGGGGCACTCGTGTTGTGTGGGTGTGTTAAGGCACGTGTACAAGGCACGTGTGCAGGGCACGTGTACATGTCACGTGTGCGAGGCACGTGTACAGGGCACGTGTGCAGGGCACGTGTACATGTCACGTGTGCGATGCACGTGTACAGGGCACGTGTGCAGGGCACGTGTACATGTCACGTGTGCGAGGCACGTGTACATGTCACGTGTGCGAGGCACGTGTGCAGGGCACGTGTGCGAGGCACGTGTACAGCGCACGTGTACGCGGCACGTGTGCGAGGCACGTGTGCAGGGCACGTGTGCGAGGCACCTGTGCAGGGCACGTGTGCAGGGCACGTGTGCGAGGCACGTGTGCAGGGCACGTGTACAGGGCACGTGTACGCGGCACGTGTGCGAGGCACGTGAACAGGGCACGTGTGCAGGGCACGTGTACATGTCACGTGTGCGAGGCACGTGTACATGTCACGTGTGCGAGGCACGTGTACAGGGCACATGTGCAGGGCACGTGTACATGTCACGTGTGCGAGGCACGTGTACAGGGCACGTGTGCGGGGCACGTGTACATGTCACGTGTGCGAGGCACGTGTACATGTCACGTGTGCAGGGCACGTGTGCGAGGCACGTGTACAGGGCACGTGTGCAGGGCACGTGTGCGAAGCACGTGTACATGTCACGTGTGCAGGGTACGTGTGCAGGGCACGTGTACGCGGCACGTGTGCGAGGCACGTGTACATGTCACGTGTGCGAGGCACGTGTACATGTCACGTGTGCGAGGCACGTGTGCTATTGCGGGCGTGTAAGGACCGTACCTGCGTGCTCGTCTCGTTGCTGCTCAGCTCAGCCTCGTCGCTGGGCAGGGCCACCTTGTACTCGGCCCGGACCTTGAGTTCAACCTCCTCCTCCTCCTCGTATGTCGGCCGTGGCTCTGCGGGCAGTCACAGGGAGAGCGGTCACAAAAAGGGCAGTCACCGAGGGGACTGCCAAGAGGACAGTCACGAGAGTAGTCACGGGAGGGGCGCACCTACAGTTGCAAAAGGGTCGTCACACGAAAGGGCAGTCAAGGGAAGGGCAGTCAAACGGAGAGCGATGGTCTCGCAGTTACGGCCGTAACTACTGGAAGGGCAGTCACGGGATAGGGCAGTCACGGAACAGTAACAGAAGAGGAGTAACAGGTTAGTCACGGGGCAATTCCAGAAGGGCAGTCACGGTAAAGGGCAGTGGCGGTAACGGGCAGAAGGGCAGTCGCGGTAAAGGGTAGAAGGGCAGTCGCGGTAACGGGCAGAAGGGCAGTGGCGGTAAAGGGCAGAAGGGCAGTGGCGGTAAAGGGCAGAAGGGCAGTCGCGGTAAAGGGTAGAAGGGCAGTGGGGGTAAAGGGCAGAAGGGCAGTCGCGGTAATGGGCAGAAGGGCAGTCGCGGTAAAGGGCAGAAGGGCAGTGGCGGTAATGGGCAGAAGGGCAGTCGCGGTAAAGGGTAGAAGGGCAGTGGGGGTAAAGGGCAGAAGGTGTAACTGGCTCCGAGATGGAACCTCGGTCTCGTGAGCTGGTGTGAGTGCGTGAGATTGCGTGAGAGTGATTGCGCGCGAGTGATTGCGTGCGAGTGATTGCGTGAGCGTGATTGCGTGAGATTGCATGAGAGTGACCGCATGAGATTGCGTGAGAGTGGAATTTCTTGTCGAGTGAATGCGCGAGATTGCGCGAGACCGATTGCGCGAGAGAGCAGAATGCAAGCGCTCACGTCTCCCTCCTCTCGACTGCGCGTCAGAGACCATCCCACGCTCACCTCTGAACAATCATCACGGGCTATAAAGGATGGTGGAATTTGTAATATTTATTTATTTATTATATCCGCGCGCGGGACTTTGTTTTCAAGTCGTATAAATATCACGGGTCAGACGGGGGTAGCCCCTCTCCTTTTTTTTGTTATTGTTTAAACCAGACGCTTCCCAACTTCTAAATGGCCAGGTCCTCGTGGGTTGCATCCCCGACCCTGACGCCTGCTGCTGTATATTTGGAGTCTGTGTGTCTCTCTCATTATCAACACGGTGGCTAGGAGATGTTAACTACCTCGCCTGGTATACAGGAGGTCGTGTGTTCGATCCCCGACCCTGACGCCTGCTGCTGCTGTATGTTTGGAGTTTGCGTCTCTCATCATCATCAACACGGTGGCTAGGATATGTTAACTACCTCACCTAGTACACATGAGGTCGTGGGTTCCATCCTCGACCCTGACGCGTGCTGCTGTATATTTGGAGTTTGCGTCTCTCTCATCATCATCATCACGGTGGCTATGAGATGTTAACTACCTCGCCTGGTACACAGGAGGTCGTGGGTTCGATCCCCGACCCTGACGCCTGCTGCTGTATATTTGGAGTTTGCGTGTTATCTCTCTCTCTCCCCGTGGTGGCTAGGAGATGGTAACTACCTCGCCTGGTACACAGGAGGTCGTGTGTTCGATCCCCGACCCTGACGCCTGCTGCTGTATATTTGGAGTTTGCGTCTCTCTCATCATCATCACGGTGGCTAGGAGATGTTAACTACCTCGCCTGGTACACAGGAGGTTGTGGGTTTCATCCCCGACCCTGACGCCTGCTGCTGCTGTATATTTGGAGTTTGCGTGTCTCTCTCTCTCCCCGTGTTGGCTAGGAGATGTTAACTACCTCGCCTGGTACACAGGAGGTCGTGGGTTCGATCCCCGACCCTGACGCCTGCTGCTGTATATTTGGAGTTTGCGTGTCTCTCTCTCTCTCTCTCCGTGGTGGCGTGTACTTTTTTTAAATCTCCGGGTCCTCCGGTCTCCCCCCCCCCCCCTTTACAGTTCTAATCAACAGCACGCGTTTAGAATATTTGGCTGCTGTACATTGCCAAGGGATGATGATGAGCCAATTCGTTGAGCTATCATTTGTGGCCAGGAGCTACGTCGCTCAATGAGCCTTACCTGGTAACATAAAAAATATATATAGTGTATCTGTGTGTGTATCCATATATACTATATGTGTCAGCCTCTCTGTCCATCTGTCTGTTTGTCTATGTATTTGTCTCTGTGTCCGTGTGATGTGTGTGTTTGTCTGAGCCTGCCTTCATAGTTGCTCACGAACAGCAGTTTCCCCAAATGTCTGTGGAGGCTATACGGGGGATCTTTGTCTTGTCTTGTGTAGCCGAAAGAGTCTGTTAAGGCTATACGGGAAGTCTTTGTGTGTGTGTATGTTTGTGCAGATGTGTGTGTGTGCGATTATGCGTATTTGTGTGTGTGCGTTTGTCTGTGTGTGTGTGTGGGGAGCGATGGTGAAGCGGTTAGTGCGCTGCGCTACGAACCTGGCGACCCGAGTTCGATTCCCACTCACGGCTAAAATCAGTGACGATTATCCGAACCAGTCCTGGGCCTCCCCTAGGTCGACTCAGCCTCAAATGAGTACCTGGTTGCGATGTGTAGTAAACATCGCCACTGGGAGAAAAAGGCGGCCGGGCGTGGTGCTGGCCACCAACCCCCTCGTGCGCCGTTCTGGTCTTCATAGGTGCTGCTCGCTAACAGCACTTGCCCCAACAATCTGTTCAGGCTATACAGGGGGATCTTTTTTTGTCTTTGGCGCGGTCGTGTAGTGGTTAGAGCACTTACAGTGAGGGGAAAAAAGTATTTGATCCCCTGCTGATTTTGTACGTTTTCCCACTGACAAAGAAATGATCAGTCTATAATTTTAATTGTAGGTTTATTTGAACAGTGAGAGACAGAATAACAACAACAAAATCAAGAAAAACGCATGTCAAAAATGTTATGAATTGATTTGCATTTTAATGAGGGAAATAAGTATTTGACCCCTCTGCAAAACATGACTCAGTACTTGGTGGCAAAACTCTTGTTGGCAATCACAGAGGTCAGACGTTTCTTGTAGTTGGCCACCAGGTTTGCAAACATCTCAGGAGGGATTTTGTCCCACTCCTCTTTGCAGATCTTCTCCAAGTCATTAAGGTTGCGAGGCTGACGTTTGGCAACTCGAACCTTCAGCTCCCTCCACATATTTTCTATGGGATTAAGGTCTGGAGACTGACTAGGCCACTCCAGGACCTTAATGTGCTTCTTCTTGAGCCACTCCTTTGTTGCCTTGGCGTGTGTTTTGGGTCATTGTCATGCTGGAATACCCATCCACGACCCATTTTGCAATGCCCTGGCTGAGGGAAGGAGGTTCTCACCCAAGATTTGACGGTACATGGCCCCGTCCATCGTCCCTTTGATGCGGTGAAGTTGTCCTGTTACCTTAGCAGAAAACATCCCCAAAGCATGATGTTTCTACCTCCATGTTTGACAGTGGGGATGGTGTTCTTGGGGTCATAGGCAGCATTCCTCCTCCTCCAAACACGGCGAGTTGAGTTGATGCCAAAGAGCTCCATTTTGGTCTCATCTGACCACAACACTTTCACCCAGTTGTCCTCTGAACCATTCAGATGTTCATTGGCAAACTTCAGACGGGCATGTATATGTGCTTTCTTGAGCAGGGGGACCTTGCGGGCGCTGCAGGATTTCAGTCCTTCACAGCGTAGTGTGTTACCAATAGTTTTCTTGGTGACGATGGTCCCAGCTGCCTTGAGATCATTGACAAGATCCTCCCGTGTAGTTCTGGGCTGATTCCTCACCGTTCTCATGATCATTGCAACTCCACGAGGTGAGATCTTGCATGGAGCCCCAGGCGGAGGGAGATTGACAGTTCTTTTGTGTTTCTTCCATTTGCGAATAATCGCACCAACTGTTGTCACCTTCTCACCAAGCTGCTTGGCAATGGTTTTGTAGCCCATTCCAGCCTTATGTAGGTTTACAATCGTGTCCGTGACATCCTTGGAGAGCTCTTTGGTCTTGGCCATGGTGGAGAGTGTGGAATCTGATTGATTGATTGATTGCTTCTGTAGACAGGTGTCTTTTATACAGGTAACAAGCTGAGATTAGGATCACTCCCTTTAAGAGTGTGCTCCTAATCTCAGCTCGTTGCCTGTATAAAAGACACTTGGGAGCCAGAAATCTTTCTGATTGAGAGGGGGTCAAATACTTATTTCCCTCATTAAAATGCATATAAAATTATAACATTTTTGAAATGCGTTTTTCTGGATTTTTATGTTGTTATTCTGTCATTCACTGTTCAAATAAACCTACGATTAAAATTATAGACTGATCATTTCGTTGTCAGTGGGCAAACTTACAAAATCAGCAGGGGATCAAATACTTTTTCCCTCACTGTAATTATGAAGTCGGTTACCCAAGTTCGATTCCCGGCCACGGCCAACATCATTGGTGAGCGATACCCCCCCCACCCCAACCCTCCACCACCAACCAGTGTGGTGAAGTATGGTCAAGCCGACCCCCTCCCCCGCAACTAGAACTCGCTTCTCATTGGTTGACCCTGTGCTGGAGAACCACGGGTGTGGAGGAGGATCACCAGTGGCAGCTACATCTACAGAACATGAAGAACCAGTGGCATCTACATCTGCAGAAGATGAAGAACCAGTGGAATCTACATCTGCAGAACGTGAAGAACCAGTGGCATCTACATCTGCCGAACATGAAGAACCAGTGGCATCTACATCTGCAGAACATGAAGAACCAGTGGCATCTACATCGACAGAACGTGAAAAACCAGTGGCATCTGCATCTTCCGAAAATGAAGAACCAGTGGCATCTCCAGAACATGAAGAACCAGTGGCATCTACATCTGCAAAACGTGAAGAACCAGTGGCATCTACATCTACAGCACATGAAGAACCAGTGACATCTACATCTGCAGAACGTGAAGAACCAGTGGCATCTACATCTGCAGAACATGAAGAACCAGTGGCCTCTGCATTTCCAGAACATGAAGAACCAGTGGCATCTACATCTGCAGAACGTGAAGAACCAGTGGCATCTCCATCTACAAAACATGAAGAACCAGTGGCATCTACATCT